GAGAGAGAGAGCAGGTGAATGTGTGTGTGTGAGTGAGTGAGTGAGTGAGTGTGTGTGTGAGAGAGGGTTGATGTGTGTATATGTTGTTTACACATATATCATGTGGGCCACACACACACACTTTTCACACAACAATCAAACAGAGGAAACTGGTTTTGTAGGAATTTCTCCCCAAATGATGAGAACAGAAGAGCATTTATAGTGTGTGTCACATCAACATGACGCTGTTTGTCTGCGCATACACACACACACACACACACTGGAGGATGTTATTGTGATTTTATTACACTTCAGAACAGCGTTATTTACTCTTTCATGCATTTGACAGTTATACATGCATGCATGTGTGTGTGTGTGTGTGTGAGCAGAAAAATGGTTTCATGTTAATGTGACAGACACAGACACAGACACAGACACACACACACACACACACACACTGTATAAAAGCTAATTTGTTTCAATCATCATCATCTGAGGAATCCTTCATGTGTTTGTATCTGCTGAACTATAGTTTGTGTACAAAAGTGTCCCAGAAATGAGCAAAACGTGAAATGTGAAATCAAAGTAAATGTTTTAAGCCTTTCATTTATATATATATTATTATTTTTCTTCAATCTAACCATAAACATGCGACCAGGTTTGGGTTCTGGTTTAGTTTAGTCTACAGTATTTATAACTAGTTAAAAATCAACAGATGACTACAGCGTTCCTCCATTTATACAGCCAAACAAATGTTACACACGTGTGTGTTGCATGTGTGCTGTTCATGCATGTTGTGTGTAATGTGTGTGTTGTGTAATTAATGTGTGTTTTGTGTAATTAATGTGTGTGTTGTGTAATTAATGCGTGTGTTGTGTAATGTGTGTAATATGTGTGTGTTGTGTACCTGTTCCAGGTGGCGTTGGTTCCTGCTCGATGCTGCTGGTTGTTCCTGTCATCCAGCGCTGATCTCTCTGATCGAATCAAATCACTCAGACTGGGAGAACTCATCAACTGTGAGAGAGTCCTCATGATCACACACACACACACACACAGCCGTTAGAGAGATACCCGACAGAGTGCAGTGCGTGTCGTCGGTCTCACTTCTGTCTGTGGTTTCGAGGGAGGGACTCAGTGAGACAATGTGCTCGAATCAACCACTTCCCTGCTGAAACACACACACACACACTCACTCACACACACACACACACGCACTCACACTCACTCTCTCACTCACACACACTCACACACTCACTCTCTCACACACTCACACACATACACACACACACACACACTCACTCACACACACACACACACACGCACTCACACTCAGATCTGTGGGTCTGAGCTGACAGCAGTGGCTCTGCTTTTATTTAAACACGGAATTTGCCCAAATTATTTCATAATATAAAAACTATATGAATGTACAGTGCCTTGCAGAAGTATTCATACCCCTTCATTTTTTCCCACATTTTGTTGTTGCAGCCTTATGTTAAACTGCTTTAAATTACTTTTTTCCACATCAATCTACACTCCATACACCATCATGGCAAAGCAAAAACAGAATTCGTAAATTTATTAAAAGTACAAAAACTGAAATAAGTACATTGCATAAGTATTCATACCCTTAACTAAATATTTAGCTGAAGCACCTTTACAGCCTCAAGTATTTTTGGGTATGATGCGACAAGCTTTGCTCGTCAGCATTTGGCAATTATCTGCCATTCTTCTCCTCATCTCTTCACCTCTCAAGCTGTCAGGTCAGATGCACATTTTCAGGTTTCTCCAGAATTATTTGATTGGGTTCAAGCTCAGGCTGTGGCTGGGTCACTCAAGGACATTCACAGAGTCGTCTATAAGCCACGTGTGCTTAGGGTCATTGTCCTGTTGGAAGGTGAACCTTCTGCCCAGTCTGACGTTCTGAATGCTCTGGACTGGGTTTTCACTAAAGCTATCTCAATAGTTTGGTGCATTGAGCTTTTCTTCTACTCTGACGAGTCCCTCGCTGAAAAACAGCTCCACAGCATGAGGCTGCTAGCAGCACACTTTGGGTTAGGTTCTCTGCAGGTGATGAGCAGAGCTGCTTTCCTTCAGACATGATGCTCAGAACTGAGGTTCATCAGACCAGAGATTCTTGTTTCTCACAGTCTGAGGGTCCTTTAGCTGCTTTTTTGCTAATTCTAAGTGTGTTTTCATGTGTCTTCACTGAAGAGAGGATTGAGTTTGGCCACACCAGCATAAAGCCCAGATCGGTGGAGTGTTGCAGTGATGTTTGTCCTTCTGTAGGTTTCTCTAGATTTCTCTATGATGATTTCTAATTTGATCATGGAGCTCAACTAGAGTGACCATCAGCTTCTTGCTCGCCAGTCTAACCAAAGCCCTTCTCCATCAGTTGCTCAGTTTGGCCAGGATGCCAGCTCTACGAAGGGTCCTGGTTGTTTCAAACTTCTTCTATTAAGGCTAACAGAGACTATATGCTTCTGTGAACCTTCAGTGTTACCAAAGTTCTTTTACAAAGTCTTGATCTTGTTTTGGGGGTGTACTAGAACAGGCTCTCATACTAGGTTGTTCGAAAAACACATTATTTTTCACATATTTTACATTATTACATCACCTCTCTCCCCAGTCTGGCACGAACGGCTCGAATAGTTCCTGTATCAAATGGGCCTTCATGAAATACGAAATGTGTTGTGATTGGTTAGCTGGGCCGGTGCGTGCTGTGATTGGTTAGCTGGGCCGGTGCGTGTTGTGATTGGTTAGCTGGGCCGGTGCGTGCTGTGATTGGTTAGCTGGGCCGGTGCGTGTTGTGATTGGTTAGCTGGGCCGGTGCGTGCTGTGATTGGTTAGCTGGGCCGGTGCGTGTTGTGATTGGTTAGCTGGGCCGGTGCGTGCTGTGATTGGTTAGCTGGGCCGGTGCGTGTTGTGATTGGTTAGCTGGGCCGGTGCGTGCTGTGATCGGTCAGCTGAGCCGGTGTGTGCTGTGATCGGTCAGCTGGGCCGGTGCGTGCTGTGATCGGTCAGCTGGGCCGGTGCGTGCTGTGATCGGTTAGCTG